ACGGATAAAGAAGCTTTTAAATGCAATCGTCTACAGTTCGGTACATCCGTGTCTACACAAATTTTTCAAAAATGAAGAAAAGTGCGTTTACCGAACAAAAACGTTTTTTGGTTTTCAAATTAGTAAAGACGGGTTACGCCCCACTAAAGACAAAATCGTGGCCATAACTAATGTACCTGAGTCAACTTATAAAACCCAGATGCAAGCTTTTCTTGGTCATTTAAATTTTTATCTTTTTCTAAAAGACAAGGCAACAATTGCGGATCCATTACATACATTGCTCCGAAAGGACGTTCAATAGCAGTGGCGTTTCAAAGAACAAAAAGCTTTTGATTTATTAAGACATTCTAGTGAAAGAACCAGTGTTAGGACATTACAGTGAACTAAAAGATGTATTTTTGATGTGTGATGTCAGCCCTTGCGGGATAGGTTCTGTTCTTGGTCAACGAGATGATAAGGGACGTGAATATCCAGTGGCGTATCATAGCCGTACTCTATAATCTGCTAAACAATATTGCGCCCAAATCGACAAAGAAGCACTGGCCATTAGATCGGACATTAAAACATTCCATGAATATGTATATAGCAGGAAAATAAGCATGATAAAAAAGGTTTTCCAGAGATACTGTCACCCAGAATACTTATAAGGGCTGTTATGTCACCTGCTTATGATTATGAATTATGCTACGTACCAGGACTAAACATTCAGAATGTAGATGCTCATAGCAGATTACCACAAAAGGTACATGTGCCAAAACCAACAAGCTCAGATGACTTTTTGATGCTTGAGAACGTCCCAGAAAAACTAATATGTGCCAAAGACATTGCTAATGAGACTAAGAAAGACCCAGTTTTATCTTAAATTTTATAGTGGGCATGGAAATGTTGGCCTAATGAGAAAATTAAAATTTCAGACAAATATACTTCTTATCTACAACGTATAAACGAAATTAGCTGTTATCAAGACTGCCTTTTATGGAGTACAAGGGTAATACTTCCACTTGGAGGGAGGAAAAAGATACTGAATTTGCTACACTCAGCACACCTAGGAATCGTAAAAATTAAGTAATCGAAGAACAAATAGAACACTTAGTAAATATATGCAGCAAGTGTCTGCTACTGAGACTAAGAAAGACCCAGTTTTATCTTCAATGTTATAGTGGGCATGGAAATGTTGGCCTGATGAGAAAATTAAAATTTCAGACGAATATACTTCTTATCTACAACGTATAAACGAAATTAGCTGTTATCAAGACTGCCTTTTATGGAGTACAAGGGTAATACTTCCACTTGGAGGGAGGAAAAAGATACTGAATTTGCTACACTCAGCACACCTAGGAATCGTAAAAATTAAGTAATCGAAGAACAAATAGAACACTTAGTAAATATATGCAGCAAGTGTCTGCTAATGAGACTAAGAAAGACCCAGTTTTATCTTCAATGTTATAGTGGGCATGGAAATGTTGGCCTGATGAGAAAATTAAAATTTCAGACGAATATACTTCTTATCTACAACGTATAAACGAAATTAGCTGTTATCAAGACTGCCTTTTATGGAGTACAAGGGTAATACTTCCACTTCGAGGGAGGAAAAAGATACTGAATTTGCTACACTCAGCACACCTAGGAATCGAAAACATTAAGTAATAGAAGAACAAATAGAACACTTAGTAAATATATGCAGCAAGTGTGAAGTCATGAAACATGCCAAAAAAGCCCCCAATCCATCCTTGGGAGTTGGGCAGAGCTCCATTTACAAGAATAAACCTCGATTTTGCCGGTCCATTTAAGGCAAAATGTTTATGATTATCATAGACTCAGCTGAGTTACAAGATTAAAAAAAACCTTATTAGACAAGCATTGGTTACACCGTACCATCCAAGTAGTAATGGACAAGCGGAGGGCATGGTACAAAATTTAAAAAATGCACTTGAAAATGACATATAGTAATGAACAAATTAACATACAGGTAGCATTGCACAGATATCTCCTTACTCATCACATTACACCCATTTGTGCAACAGGGAGATGTGTATCAAAAATATCAATGGGGCGAAAATTAGGATCAAAAAGAGGTTAATCTTTGTAAATGGGTATATTTATTTAAAAAACCCTTAAAAGGGCCACATCAATAAAACAAACGTTTTCTGACCACACAGTCCATCATCAGGTTTTAAAATCGAAAAATGCTAGGTCACAATGCCTGAGCCACCAAAATACTAGGGTAAAAACCCTTTAAATTACATTTAGTTATGAAATGTTGTACATTTTGTTGTAAAATAACTGTGATGTTCAGTATTAAATTAGACTATAGGTAACACATGGCTCAATCTGGCTCCAGAGCCGGTGAGAGGATACCTCTGCACTCGGAGAACAGCGTGGAACTGTTACAAACAACTGGAAGCGTTGGTTGTTTTAGTGTTGTGATTAATAAATTAATTCCTCTGTAATTTTCCGATTTGTCTCCCTTTTTGAAGAGAAGTATTAGGATGCTTGATCTCCATTCTTGAGGGATTCTGTTTTGGTCTATTATTTTTTTAATTAGTTTTAGTAGTTGTTTGGTCAGATTTGGTCCTCCGTACTTTAGGAGTTCGTTCGGTATTCTGTCCTCTCCCGGTGATGTTCTATTTTTTTAATTCCCTTAACCCGGCGCCAGTGTGGTGGGGTATAACATACCCCAGTGATTTTAAAATTAGCGCCAATATTTTTATCGGTAAATTAGCGTGACAGGCATTTCAGTGCCTTTCGTAAAACCTTGAAGGAGGTCCCGCAGTTGTTGATTTACTTTAGAAGTGAACTCACACATCGCTGTTTTGATTCAAACGTCGTTGGGGTATCACATACCCCACCACACAGGTAAGTTAATATATTTATGGTAGTAATATTTGAGTTGGGCATTCACATTTTTATATAATTTCCGTTGAAATTATTTATTTTTAATGAAAATGTAAAATTTTATACATAAATTATTTATGTTTTTGTTCTAGATTATGGCTTATCGATATGAACGGGAGCAGGCGAGGCTTCAAGCTTTATGGGACGATTCTCAAGACGATGATGTAGTAATTGGATCTGCAAGCGAGAACGAATCCGACAATGAAGACAACAGTAGCCACAACTCTGACAGCGAGGAAGATGCTATTGATTTAGAACAGTCGGTGGCTGATACAGAAATCGAAAATAAACTTTTGGGGCAAGGACAGGAGAGTGAAAAGAAACATTATGTAGGTAAGGACGGCACTAAATGGTCTTCAACATGCTTTCCTATAAATGTAAGAACACGTTCAGTAAATATCATTACGCATTTACCAGGTGTAAAACGAAATGCAAAAATGGCGAAAACTCCCTTAGAATGAAAGAAAAAAACTTGATAAAATGACTGCAATTAGAGCGATTTTCGAAAAATTTGTGCAAAATAGCCAAGACGTCTATACGCCAAGCGAATACCTTACTATTGATGAAAAGCTGGAGTCATTTAGAGGGCGCTGTAGTTTTCGCCAGTATATGCCGAAAAAGCCTGCACGATACGGATTAAAGATATTCGCTCTAGTTGATGCAAAATCATATTATGTTTTGAATTTAGAACTATACGTGGGATTGCAGCCAGAGGGACCCTTCCAATTGAGCAATAAACCTAGCGACGTAGTTCTGCGACTTGTAACTCCGATATCTGGAACCAAACGAAATGTAACATTCGATAATTGGTTCACAAGTTATGAGCTGATGCTGAACCTTTTAAAAGATCATCAACTGACGTCTACTGGAACTGTAAGAAAAAACAAAAGGCAAATACCTGAAAGTTTTATAACATCTAGGAACAGGCCAATATATTCCTCAAAATTCGGATTTAAAGAGAGTATAACGTTAGTTTCACATGTACCAAAAAAAGGAAAAGTAGTTCTTCTAATGTCAACTTTACATCACACTCCTGATATTGACGATAATACTGACGAAAGTAAGAAACCAGAAATAATTTCTTTTTATAACGCTACAAAATGTGGGGTAGATGTGGTAGATGAATTGTCCGCTTCATACGATGTTTCACGTAATAGCAAAAGGTGGCCCATTACAATTTTTTATACGATACTCAACTGTGCAGGTATAAATGCTAGAGTAATTTATCAACAAAATACTGGCGATTTTCAGTCAAAACGAAGAAAATTTTTGAAATTATTAGCAATACAGTTACTAACAGAATACAAACAAATTCGGTCTACCAACTTAAGGCTTCCGCAAAATTTACAAGTCCATCCTGAAGGAACTGTAACAAATGATGAAGTGCAATCAGGTAAACGAATGAAAGTAGCCAAAAGATGTAATGTTTGCCCGAGAAAAAATGACAGAAAGACCTATTATAATTGTATGATTTGTAAAAAAGCTATATGTTTAGAGCATTCAGTGGTGCATTGTGATTCTTGCTATTAAGCTAAAAACAATTAAAATGTATTCTGAATGTTATGGTTTTTTCAAAAATTCATTTATTTTTACTAGTTCTCTGATCTTTTTTTTATAATCGACAAAAAATGAGTGTAATGTTTTTTTATGCTGTAAAATGAGACTTTTTTGAAATATTTAAGTATTAAGTTTGCAATTTGTTTCTAAACACTAGTTTCTTTTGATTTGAGTTGGTTATATTATGTTGAAATATAAATCACAATAAAAATTTTATAAAAATGTGTTATTTTTATTTCATTTTTTTTTTAATTTGGGGTATCTGATACCCCACCACACAGGTTTTTACATTTCAGTCTACCACACTGGCGGCGGGTTAATGCTTCCTTTACCTCTTCCTCCTTAATATTTATTTCTTCGTTTGACCAAATCAGAAACACAAATTCACAAATGTTTTGGTATTCGCTAATACCCAATTCTATGACGTTTTCTAGGAAAATTAAACAGATGTTTAATTTTTTCTATAAGATGCTTCGGAATAATACCAGTTATTATACATTATTGCTGATATGTTATTATCAAGTAAGAAGATTTAAAACACTAATTATATATACCTCCAAACATGTTTAAAGTTTATTATAAACAATTATTGCAAAAATAATAACACCATACAAATCCATACATATACACAATTAAAAATCTTGATTCTACAGTTTTGACTTTGGATCTTCTGCTTTTTGGGACAGTAAGTTAATGAATTGATGGGCTCTGTCATAATGAGGGTTGCATTCCTCCCTTACAGCTTCGATCCATTGCTTAATTTTCGGAAAATGATCTCTAGCATCATAACCAGCTACTCCTAGAAAAGAAAAAAAAGTACTAAAAATTCCACATTATATTTATTTGATTAATTTTGAATAACTTCCATTGCATATAAAGGACGAGAAGAATGGACAGCAAAAGTTGACCGAATGACATAACTACAAGGAAAATGTGTTTTTATTTCATGTAGTGTTTAATTTATAATAACTTTGAACTGGTGGCTGTCACGTTGACTAGGATATATTGTATGGACAAAATTAGAAAAATGACAAAAAAGATAAAATTGATCATCAAAAATTTTGTTTGCATTTATTATGCCTATAAAATGCAAGAAATTTAATTACAATGAACTTATTTATGACACACAGATCAGATACAGAAATTTTAAAAAGAATAGGTTTTTAAATCTCCCGATTTTAAACTTTGCGTAATGTCTTGAATTATTGATATCGTTGTTTGTGTTTTACTAAATTTAAACTTTGTTTTATTGCATATATATGAATTGAATGGATCAAGTCATCAATTTTTGATTTAATGTATTTAGAATTGTAATTGATTTAAAGTAATAAAGACCCACAAAAAAAATAATAATAATAACTGTCTGCTGCCTAAAAGATCTACCCGTGACAATATGTGACATCAAATGAAATTATGTTATATGTAAAGTATATTAAATTCGTTGATATAAAAAATATCTTCGACTGAGTGAGAAATAAACGACAGATTTGACTAAATTGTATGGGGAATATCATTTAAATGCATTATACATCCGAATATAAAACACCTATTTCTTTACATTAATGAATAAGATATATGCCGATTTCGAATTGCGTACTATATTTTACCTACGATAATGTAATGTAATTATATATATATATATATATATATATATATATATATATATATATATATATATATATATATATATATATATATAGTGTATATAACGACGCTAAGAATACAATTCTTTGGAGGGTAACTTTCGGGAAAGCGTCAAAACAAGGATCAGCTAGAGATGGTATAAGCCAGTTTGGTGTAGAACTTTATTCTAAATGTGAAATTTTCGGTGATATGTTGTCATCAGCACCTAAATGGAAAACCTATTTTAGTACAAGTGGTGGAAATCAACATTTAAAAACATACATTGAAAATGTTCAGTTGGTCCTAGTGGTGAAGAACACTGTCAGAAACATGTTAAAAATATTAAAAAATACATTTAAAACTTTGAATAAAAACATTACAACACAACAGGGTATTTTTTCAAATACAAACACAACAAAAAAAGTCTAAAATTTACAATCTACAAAAACTGCAACTTCATGTTAAAGGTAGAAAAGAAGAATTATTCTTCTTTTTTGATGACATATTTCTGTCAATATCCGGGTGTCATATGTAACGAGGTTATAACTTTCACTACTTTTGCACCTCATCGATATGAAAAGAAAGAACCCTAGGAAACACAATCAGCAGGGAAATGAAGTCTTTTCTCAAGTACAGGTAGGTAATCTATGCATGTTATGATGAGTTCCCTACATTCTCCAGTTTGTTACATCTTGCCAAGTCCTGTTGAAGTAGAAAGGAATAAATACAACTTAAGTTTTCAACATCTTTCTTACAGTTCATAGAAGAGCTGCAATTATGGATGTAGCACATTTCTATGAAGTTTCTCTTAAATTGACGCTTTCTCGAAAGTTACCCTCCAAAGAATTATATTATAAGACACGAGATAACCATACGACCCCTGGCAGAGAAATATGCAAAAAAAAAACAATATGTCTGACAACACGCTTCGTAAAGGTGCACAAACTTATATCTGTGTGAAAAAAAGTCGACCAATAAATTTGGTGTTCATAGAAAATATAATTAACGTCCATTGCTCGACATATGTTTTACATCAAACATCCACCGCTTAACAAAAGCCTCTTTCGAACGTCCATTGCTCGATATAAATCAGGCAAATATATCGTCGTCGTTGCGTCAAAATTCATTAAGTCTTTTTGGCCAAAATTGAGGTAAGTTTACTGATATATTCACAATATCAATTTTCATAGTCTGGCAGAAATAACGAAGTCCTACAAAGTACGTAGAGTTCGCTGCCTGAAGCACTGACTATACTTAAGTCCAAAACTCCAAAATTACCATTTTGTTGTCAGGCAGAAGTCACTAACTGGACGTAATGATGTTTGCCCAATTACTATACCGACAGATACTATACTAGTAAAGCGCATCAGTTAGCGTGAGCACGTGTTGTCAGTTGATTTCTATAGATCGTAATTGTTGTGTTTGTTAGCAGTAAAAAATATTTTGTAAATTATTTTTTACTAACATGTTTTCTAAAGTGTTTTAAAGTTTCTTCTTCAAGTGCCATCTCCGCGGTGGAGGTCGGCACTCATCATAGCTATTCGGACTTTTGAGACGGCTGCTCTGAAAAGTTCATTAGATGTACATCTGCACCACTCTCTCAGGTTGCGCAGCCATGACAGTCTTACGCCTCCCTATTCTTCTCTTTCCTTGGATCTTTCCCTGCATAATCAGTTGGAGCAAGATGTATTTCTCTCCACGTGTAATGTGTCAGAGATATTCTAATTTTCTTGTTTTCATTGTATTTAAAATTTTCATTTCTTTATTCATCCTTCTCAGAACCTCTTTGTTTGTGACGTGTTCTGTCCACAATATTTTCAGAATTCTTCTATACACCCACAGCTCGAATGATTCCAGTTTTTTCATTGATGTCGCATTCAAGGTCCAATATTTAAAGTTTAGTGAAGTGCTAATAAACAAATCGAAAATGCAATCTAGTAGGGGAAAACGTATTGCTAACCTTGCAATTTGTATTTGTGTTTATAGGTAGAAGAAACAATATTGAACAGTACACCGTCGTCTTCAAAAAATCCTGTATTACAAAATGATGACCATGATCGTTCCTCGTTAATGAATCGAACGGCAGCCACAACAATATGGAATATACCAAGTACAAGTAATTCGTCGTGTGCTTCATACAGTATAAAACAAATAAGTATTTCAGTCCAAAATAAAATAGTAATACTATCGGATATCAAAATACAGAATAGTTTTGATACGGAGATAAAAACTGCTGATAAGGTAAAGGTAGTGTGACTGTTAATCAAGCTCTTTTGTGATTATTGTTCTATATTGAAGGTACCACTAAAAATCAATCAACAACGTTTATAGAAGCTGCTCAAGTAGACAAAGTACAAGAGTATCAACTTGTTGACAACAGCGACGATGGCAAAGATTTTTCAAAGTCTCTGCGGAAGCGTCATTTAATAAAAAAACGTAGGAACCTGGGTGAATTGTATGTTACAAAAGAAGAATAATTCAAACGTATTAACTGTTCTCGTTGCAGATTTCACTGCACAGACAATTTTAGTGAAGAAGAAAGGATGCAATTGTGTTCCGAGTACTGGGAACTTAAATCGTCCAAAAGCAAAAAAGATTTCATTTTACAAAATGTAAAATTACATGCATCAAGAAGAAAACGGTCTTGGAAAGAATATGCCAAATCACAAACGATAAGCAAAGAGTTTTTTTTAATGCTGCCCAAATTAGAGTATGTCAAATTTTTTTTCTAAAGACTTTTTCTATCAGTAATGGTCCTTTAAACGAAGGATGTGAAGGTAAGAATAAAATAACAGACATATTTGAAGGCGATGATAAAAGAGGTAGACATGTACCTGCCAATAAAACAGCCGAAGATGATATTAAAAATTACATCGAAAGTTTCCCACTAACAAAATCACACTATTACAGAAAGTCGTCTTGTATAAGAAACTATGTGATCAAAATGCTCGCATACCAAAAAGTTTGGGAACGTACAAGAAAATTTTTGGTAAGGAATATAACGTCATCCTTGAAAAGGATGCCAATGCTGCTAAGGACAGTGATAAGAAAAGAGCAACTGAAAATGCTGATTTTGTCACTGCCACTTTTGACATTCAAAGTGTGTTACAAATAGTGATGTATCACCCTTATACTACAGTAGAAAATGATCTGCCTTTAATTTATGCATTTATGAAGGGGCTCCCTCAAATAATGCACACTGTTTTACCCGGACTAAACTAAAATTTCCAGAGTCAGGACATACGATGATGGAATGCAATAGTATGCATTGCGCTATCGAGAGGGAAAAGAGGTAAGAAGGACCCTTATGTAGATCATGAGCTACAATATTCAGTTTGTATTAACTGGAAACTACTTGGGAAGGATATGTTAAAAAACACAAAACTAAATAAATCTGGTGAAAACGTTAGGTGGTTGCAAATAAAATGTTTCAGAGTGGAGAGGAAATATCCAGAAATCATCAAATATCGCTATGAGCACTACGGTCCCTACTTTAAACTAAGTAGTTATGGACGAGGAAGACCTCCAACACAAGCTTCCCTATCACGTCAACAAGCTTATCTAGGTATGCGTCCAAGTTCGTTAGCAAAATTTATTGATTTACACAAATTATGCACTAGAGCCGTTCAATAGTCCAAACGGCTCTAAACTAACCTATTGTACTATATTTACACTGTTCATTCATTTTGCTTAGATTTTTCGTTATTCAGCCATTTTGGCTAAATTTAAAGATTTTCGGTTATCAAAAGAACATAAGAATTACCGAAAGAAGTGCAAAAATCTGTCTTGGTTTTCGGTCGGTAGCTTGGAAACAAGGATACATACAAAGTCGCAATAAAGCCGGTTGAAAAGAAGAAAAAAGATGAGCCTGTAGACACCCAAAAGGCATAGTTAGGTTAGGTTATTTACCATTAGGCAAAAGCTAGATCGTTTGCAATAATTTCATAATACGAATATTGTATGTAAACAGCCTTAGTCCAAAGGTATAACTTGTTTGCTTTTTGATAAATTTTACATTGTGGTATTATAAATTGGAGTCATACTGTTTTGAGTTTTAAATAGATAGACTTATTCTAGATTCTAGATGTCTTTTGGGCTACAAGAGAAGTTAAAATTAAGTGCTATTTCATATGTTTCTTTTTGAAAAAGTTTTCGTTTTATTCATACCTATTTGTC